TATTCAATTACCGCCACCTTTAGCATTACCCGATATGCACCATGGGAAGGTTGCTAGTTTGATTTTGCGTGTGAGAGAGGGGGGGGGGGAAGAAAGAGTGGAAGTATATTTGCTCTTTAAAATTGTATATTTCCGTCTAGTCTTCGGATGTTGTTTCCTTCGACGAAGTTAATTGTAATTTTGATGTAGGTAAGCATTGTCCTACATCACAATAAAACATCGAGATGTTACTACATCCACCAATGAGTGCGAATTTGAATCCCATTGAGCATGTATGATAGGAAAAACACTATGAAAACTAGAAGGACAGTCAACAAATCTGCAGCAACTGGAAGTAGCATTGCATCGAATATGATGAAAAATTTCTGAGGCTTTAATTAGAGCTTGCATGAGTGCACGATTATCCAAAGACGAGGCGGAAATACATAATTTTAAAGAATAAATATACGCAAGCACGCACGCAAAATCAGACCAGCAATCTTCCCTAATGCGCATTAGGTAATGCTAATGTTGGCGGTAATTGAATAATGCATAGGTAAGTTTGATACACATCTTCTCGAAAAAAATCGTATAAAGTTTAATTTTTTTAATTTGTAAGAGAAAAATCCATATTTTACGACGGTTACTATTTACGAGAAAAATTTACTCCACCCTATGGAGAGCGTCAAACTATGCAAAGGATCCCGCACGTTTCTTATGAAAAAAAGGTCAAATTACTCCGTTTTGAAATATATTGTACTTCTTGTGATTCTGAACAAATGTCTCCATTGCCACATTCACATAAAATGAACATATAAAAAGATATAGCGCTTTGAAGTCACAGAATTCGAATGCCGTCATATCTCCTTAAGATAACTTGATGCTTTCTTTTATGTGTAATATACTATACATATACAATGTTTGTTTAACATGAGTCCCCTCGCCCCTCGCATCGCGGTGCTTGTTTAATGTGAGTTCTCTCGTCTCTTACATCGGAGTGCTTGTTTAACGTGAGTCCCCTCACCTCTCACATTCGACCTTATCTATACCATTCTATTCTTGATCCTATCAATATTCATTCCTATCAATATTCATAATTCGATTTAAGACAGTTTTGCTTGGATATTTTACATTAAGCTGATGTCGTGCATAGCTTAAAAACCATATAATACTTGTTATATGAGCGCAACATCTCAAAGTTCTTGCAGTTTTACATGTGCAATAATATTTTAGAATCGGTTCATCATCCTCATTATCCAGTTAATGAGCAATCCATATTTGATATTTGATTTGATGGCGAAATCGTGAATATAATCTTATTTGTATAAAACCCGGTTCATCTCTATGTTCATCAAATTCGAAGACATCAGTTGCCTCTATATCGAGCTTATCTTAAATATAAGATAGCGCCAGCCCTATTTGATAAATATCAATACGTTAATTTTTTAAAATAATTTATATCACATCTTGGAAAATCCTGGGCGTGATTCTCATTAATTTAATTTATTCCATACAGCATTCTTCCTAAAAAGTTTCTCCTGCTCTATTCTTGCTTGCACGACGTTTGGAGTATTGACTTTTTCAATCATTCTATGAGCAAGCTCTAAAGTAGCTTCTTTCATTAATATCAGGTTTCGGTAGCAATTTATTATTGCTCCAGCTATAAAATAGAAGTCTCGTAGGTTCGGAATATGTGTCGTAGAAATGATGCCATCATGTCTCAAAACGGAATATTGTTTAATATGTCCATTTCGAGCTTCAACTACCCACCTAGATTTTGTAATCAATCGAGATTCATTAGTTGCCCTTATAGTATGTTGAGATTCATCTCTTTTGAAGACAGGTGGAATCTTACAATCAATTTCTTCTTTATTCAAAAAAAGTACATTACAATAACTTCTGTCCGCAATGATTGTCTTTTTGCCGTAATTAGGCTCTAAATCCATTAACCGCATCAAATTTACTTTTAAGAATTGCAGCATTGTTCCTGCTATTAGAAAAATAAAGTTTGTGTATATCAAGAATAAATCCATCAGGAGCAACTACAAGTTTAACTAGAAAGCTCTTTATGCATAGAGAACGATTTTCTTAAAGTTTTAAAGTTAGATGATTTTTTCATATTATTCTACTATTATATATGTTGCATCAACAATTAAAATTGCCTTTAGATCGTTCGGTTCCGGATTGTACAATGCATTAGAAAATGAAGTAATGTAGTCTCTAATGTATATCTCGAGTAATGAAATTGAGATCTATATTATTATATTGTTTGATACGAATTGTAATATTAACGATTTTCTTACAAGACTCACAGCAAGACTCATAGCCTACTAGAATATTTAAAAATTACTCTTAAGAATTCATCGGAAAGATTGTGACGCATTTTTGTTAGAAATAGTAATAAGTCTTTTTTGGAAATATGAGTGTGTTTCTAACCGTAACAGAAACGCAAAAAGTAAACATTTCTTCAAACTGTTCTTTTAATACGGAACTTATTACAGAAAACTCATCATCACTAAAAGTATTTATATTAACAGTTTAGTTATTATCATTTATTTGTTCACGAAGATCCTAAAAAAAATTACTTACCTCAGTACCGTTTAGCCTGTAAGTCGGTTGATAAATCGTAAACTCTGATATAAGATTGTCAAAAGATTCCCTTCATTATCTAATTGATGTTCACAGCATTGAGTTAATATAAATATAGTTGATATAAATATATTGAGAAATATAAATATTTGTAATAATAAAAACCTAAATCCTATATTTTAAAGATAAATGATGTACATAATTGTGCAAGTGTACAGTTACAAATCATACAAAAGTCATTCCTAATTTTCTTCAAAATATTAAGTCTTAAGCAATTTGGATCACACTCTAAATCTTCTATTGCCGCATTTTAAATGTTATCGCAGTTAATATAATAAAAACACGAGAATTAATATTTATATTATCAGTTGGAGGTTTCTTCAGGTCTTCTCGATGAGTTATGCATAATTGAATTTTCTGTTGCTGAAATATATTAATCCGTTTCATTACACGCATGACACAAGTTTGTTCACATATATAACACGGAATTCTGTTACGATAGTTCATTCTTAATTATGTATTAATATAATAATTATATATATAATAGATAAACCGGTTTGTGAAGATAAAGTATAATTCGTGCAAAATTTATACGTATTTCTACGGTGATTTACTTATTTTGTACTGTGAGTTGCGATTTACTTACAAGAAAATACGCGATTTACTAAATGTAAATAAAGCGCACAGCGGTTGTTCGCGTGCGACACGCAAATACATGCGAACGTTATGCGAATAACCAGTCACATATGAAACAAAAACAAGAACAAAGAGAGTAAGAGGACAAGATAATTGATGAATGTGTGTATGCGCGCGAAAATTCCATTCAAGAATACATGTGTATGTATATCTATTACACATAAAAGAAAGCATCAAGTTATCTTAAGGAGGTATGGCGGTACTCAAATTCTGTGACTTCAAAGCACAATATCTTTTTATTTGTTGATTTTATGTGAATGTGACACTGGAGATATTTGTTCAGAATCACAAGAAGTACAACATATTTCAAAACAATTTGACCGGGAACATTTTTTCATAAGAAACGTGCGGGATTCTTTCTTTTTATATATATAAACCACATCCTTATTTTTGAAAGAATGCCAGATAGTGATAAGGATAAATTTAAAATCTATTGAAAGCTTTGTACAGACTTTACCCTTGAAAATGAAAAAAAAAACTTTTAAATGTGATCATTTTTCGCGGAGTTACACTTATTTGAATTTATGCGAAATTTTGACATAAATGTACCTATGTGATAATTTTGACGAGTGTAGCTCTAAAGTACTTTCAAAGCTATTCAATTTTTATTCTGGAAAATTTTTTTATCTCTTATAGTTTCGATATTCGCTTTAAAAGAAAAAAAAAGATTTTTTTTAGGGAGTGTTTTACCTCTTAAACCTTGAAATAAGCACAAATAAGAAATATAGGTCTAATATCTTTTCATGCTTTACAACATATCCAAAGCTCATTAAAATCAGTGAGGATCGGTTCTGTTGTTAGTAGTACGAGAGAGGTCCAAGTAGAATGCTCAAATACTCAAATTGCTCAAAATGAATTTCATGAGGAGTTTAAAGTTTATTGTACGTCTCTAGAATAACAGATTAACCTCTGAGCACTGTAAGTACTCAAGAAATAAATTGAAAACTTTACGCGTTTTTCTCGAAATCTGTTTTTTGCATTCTTCAATTTTTTTGTGTACACGATTGGAAAAGAAGTATTTGACCAATCGACTTTTTACAGGGCTCGTTAGTTAGTTAATAATCAATCATTCTCAATGAATCTAAAAAATTAAATAAAAATGAACATTAACAATTTTTTTTGCATAAAGAAGCGGCTGAAGAATCTAATGAAGATCATAACTTTTTCTTCAAAGTCGCGCAAAATTTTAATTTATATATTTTTAAATATTTTTCAGGTTTATTTAAGATGAAAAGCTATAGCAATTACAAATATTTCTTAATTTTTTTGTTTCTAATAAAAATTAGTCGCTAGGATGTATATAAAATCATAACGTCGTAGCAAGGCGCAAAACTAAATGTTTTTATTATTTATAATACTAATTTTTTACACATAAAAATTTATGCGTACTTTACAATAGTTATATTAAAACATGCAAAAAGTTCCAAAACGATAAATATTAGTTATTCTTTTGAAAAAATTCATGAAAAATTACAATTATTTTTTGGTTTCTTAATGTATGAGACTTCCTTAAATATTTGTAATATTTTGTGAAAAAAAAATCTAAGCAATAACAAGATATGTTTCGCATTGCACAAGCTCGCTCACAAGCTACGTTAATCTTGTGTATTGGCATTTCGGCATAAATCAAATTAACGGACACACTAATACACTTGCGTAAAATCTGGTTACACCGGATTGCCGGGAAAAATCTCGCTCCTAACGGATGGCGCAACGGATCCGTGACTTTCGCTTACCGCGGGTTGGTGATGATCTCTCTGCAGCTCAGACGCGAAACTTTTCAATGGAAAGAAGTAATAGTTGTACATCGGTTTAACCGGTAGCTGCGGATGACCGGTCTCGGACGGCGTGTTGCCGTTGCCGTTGCCGCCTGCGGCATTGAAAGCATGCATCAACGACGCTACGCTGATCGCTGACCCTTTTTCCAAAGCCTTTTTGTATAACGCGGCCAATTCCGCTCGTGTGAACGCTAGCGGCTCCGGTTGTTTCATCTTCGAGTGACTAGTCATAGCGGTGGAGTCGCGTATCTGGAAAATTTGCAAACATCAGTCGCCTGCCTGACATTCAGATTAAAGAAGAAATTGGACAAATTAACATTTTAATCAATTAAAATAAATAGTCAGAGATAGAAGAAATAATTATGAATAATTATTATTTTCAGATTACTAGAAAGGAACAATTAAAGTTAAAAAAAACATTGAAATTAAAGAAATCTGCTTTTAAAAAATAGAAATAAATGTTAAGGAATATTAAGTTAGAGAAAAAGTCTTTTTACAAATTGGAAAGATATTTTTAGCAACCCACTTATTTTATTTAAAAAAATTAGCAATTACACTTGATAGAGCAACGTTTCAGCTTTACAAATCTGTATTTTTTAATTGCGATACGATGATTTTTAACGGAATTACGAGCAATAAAGTCAGAATGTTCCTTTTTACTTAATTTGTAAGTAACTCAGGAACAAAAAATCGCAGGAACATAAAAAAAAAATGATTTTGTGGGAAAAGCTTCAAGCTTTTACGATAGATAGTCGAAAAATTGCTCAAATTTTTTTTGGGCACGCTACAGATCTATAAAGTGAAAAACAAATTTTTCATTTTTTTTCAGCTTGTAGTTTTCTATATGTGAAAATTACAAAATTTACATAAATTAAAAAATACAGTAACCATTCGAAAGCAGAGATTTCAAGCTTTAAAATCTTTTTATTAATTTAAATTTTGATTATTTTTAAAAAAGATATTAATGGGAAAATGTCTTTTTACCTATTTGTAAAGGAACTTTTTCCCTAACCCGATAAAAATATAGCAAAGAATTATCGAGCTTCTGAATTACCAAAGATTAATAACAAAATTTAAAAATAGTTTAAAAATGATGAAATTGATATTTTAAAAAGTTAAAAATAAAAAAAAAATGGAAAAAGATAGAAAAGATAATTATAAATAATGTTCAAGTTTTCAGATTACTAATAACAACAATTTAGAGAAAAAAATTGAATTTACAGAAATCGATTTTTTAAGTATTATAATAATTTAAAAAAAATAGTAAAATGGCAAAGGATTATCAAATTTTTAGGTTACCAAAAATTAATAATTAAACAAAGAGTGAGATTAGAAAAGATGATAATTTGAAAAATAATAATAATAAATATAAAGGATAAAAAAAGAAATGCGAAGAAACAATTATCACGTTTTCAATCTATCAAAGATTTAAAGTGGATTTACAAGATAAATCTCTATGAAAATTTCTTCTAATTTATTCTTTTCATTTCTTTGTAAATTAGATTCTAAATTAGATTAGATGTTTAAGATAGATTTACGTACTGCGTAATGCTGTATAATGCTGCCCGCGGGTTCGACAGTCACATCCGCAATCGCCTTTTGCATGCCTTGATGGACATTGTTGATACTGACCTTGCGATGCCTGTTGTAATCATGATAGCCCTGCTGATAGCCTAGGTTCATCGACGACAATCGATCGTACATCGTTAGACTATTAGAAGGCACATTTAATTCCTGGAGCTCAATCATCGCCTTCTGAAGATATTCACCGCTCGATTCAGCGACGCAAGATCGTGCGTTGATAATGATCAGTGAAATTAATACAGCGAGCCGCGTTGCTCGCGATCTCCGTAAATTCATGCCGAATTGCTTTTATGGAGTCTTTTCATCTATCGAAAAAAGCCATCTAATTTAATAATTTGTTAATACGTTGTGTTTGTTATTCCTTTTACATTTCTTTTACTTTATTTTATTTTATTATATTTCTTACATATATACTTACAATAAAGCATTTAAAATGTATAAATTTATATTATATGTATATGTATCTTATAACGGAAGACCTGATTTTTATCGAATTCGATGAAATTTGATAAGATTAATAAATTTATGTAAATATAGTGTAGATGACCTTATTTAGAAGATTAATCGTTTCTAAAATATTCTATTTGAAAAAATTTATGTTAATATCGAAAGTCAAATATCTTCAATCTCTCGAAGTATATTATTGCCTCTTTTCCGCGATGCTGATTGGTTCTCTTTATGCATTTATGCTTCGAGAATGACGGTCATTGCATTGATAACTGTTTATGTCGTGCACGAAATAAGCGCATGAATTTTGCCAAAAAGAAGATTACAATACTGGAGTTACAGTGAAGTATAATAATGTCAAATGCTAAATAGTGTGCGCGTAGCGCACGCTTGTTTTGTACTAGTTAAAGAAAAAAATCTAAAAATAGCTGAAATTAGTCCAGAGCCAATACCTAAAAATTTAATATGTCAAACAAATTAAAAAATAAATATATATGTATGTATGACAGTTTATATATAGTATATCTGATCATACAAAAAAAAAACAAAAATATAATATTTATTTTTAGTTCTTTTTAAATATTGTACATCTTAAAATGCATTATTTGAATTATTTATAGCAATAATATCATGCAATTTTACTTGTATTTCCTGTATCGTTGTAAAAGTTATTTTTCTCTTTTGTATATTTTAAGAAACAGTGTTCTTTACGTTGATTTAAGATTAATTGTGGCCATTTTTAGACTTTTTTCTTTAATATTGCAAACGACTTAACTATCTGTCCTAAATAGGAGTATCATTATATTCGGAAGAATTTAGTCTATATAATTCTGTCAATTAAGTTTCGTCGAAATTGGCGCAAATATCAGTTTACAGTCTTCTCTTGTTAGTATTTAACACTTTTCTAAAAAACAATAAATTGTTTCAAATATTTTATTTAATAAAACTGCTGTAAATCCTTTCGTGTGTTTGGTGCGACATATATGAGGCATTTCATGTCAAATTGAACACCTTTGAAAGATCGTCATTTTTAATTTTTTTTTTAATTTGCTGACATATTCTACAAATAAAAATATGACATATGTGTATTGCGAATAAAATTTGAGATTTTTTTGATAAAGTAAATAACTTTATCAAAGTGCTTATAAGTTCCAGAAATTCATGTAAAAACGTCACTCATGCGAACATTTAAATTATTATATCGTCGAAATCATTAATTGTACATAATGCAAGAGACTAATTTTAAAGATCTTACATTGTTTTATGGGTAGGTTATTTTTAATTTATCAGAAAACAAATCGTTTTTCATTTATTTACAATTTTTAACATTTTTCATTCATCGATTTACCAATTATCGATTCACCAATTAAAAAATTTTGTAAAAATATCATTATATTATCATTTTAATTATGAAATAATCCTGAAAATCACAAAATGGAACTCGAATGGAAAATGATTAAAAATAACCCGTACATAGAAAATTTAAGATCTTTAAATTTTGTCTCTTGCATTTTTTGTACGACTAATGGTTTCGATGATATAATAATTTGAATTCGCATGAGCGACGTTGTTCATGAATTTCTGCAACTTACAAGCGTAAATAACTTCATAAAAAAAATCTTAAACTTTCTTTGCGAAACACGTGTTTCATATTTTTATCTGTAGAATATGTCAGCAAATTAAAAAAAAAAAATTAAAAATGACGATATTTTAGAGGTGCTCGATTTGACGTAAAATGCCTCATATGTATGTCATGATTCTTTAAAAAATATCTTTCACAAAAATAAAAATAGTTACTTCTTTCTGAACTTATTTTAAAGATAAAACATAGGACTCTTTACAAAAAAATCAATATATTCACATATAAGTTTTGAGGTCGTTAATGTCGAATTTGCAGTAAAAAATCCAACATTTAAAATAATGGATCTCACTTGGCAGATTAAATTTTATTAGATTTGAGTGAAACTCAAGACACTAATTACGAATTTAAAGTCAAAATTTTTGAATTCAAGATATCAGATCTAATGCAGGTGAGAAAATCTAAATAATAAAGCTGAATCAGATCTGTTTACATTTCATGGGAATTTCTTGAAGCATGGGACAGAGGATGCGGGAAATAAAATTTCATTTAAATTGAAGAAAATTTTACATTTTAGTCTGCCATTGGATCTGCCATTTTAAATTTTAAAATTTTGATTACAGATTCATAATCAGCGACCTTCAAAACCTTTATTAAGTAAGATGTTAATTAAATGCTAATTATTCTTAGAAAAAAAATCAGGCTAAAAGAGTTAAAACACTTTTTTTCTTAACTCTTTTCAAATTTTAGACAAAAATATTAAATATACATATATGGGTATATCTGTAAATTAATGTTTTTATGAATAATTTTAATAGAATAATTAAAAATTAATTGATAATTAATAATTAATTATTTAATTTTGATGATGAAAAAATATTGTGTATTTACACATAGTAAGAAGATTTCTTACGTGTTTATTATATAATGTTCTAATCTCCGCGATATCGATATCGTCGTAATATATTTTCACTTCCGGAAGTCACTTGTGCTTTACAAATTACATATGTACGAGGGTCGTTTGAAAAGTCCGTGCAAAGTCAGAGACATGACACTACTGGCGCGTATCAAGGTTAGATTTAGTTAGTAGCATTTCTTGGAGGAACACACACCAAGTTACAGCCAGATCGGTCTATTTGTTTGTGTTTGGCATTCATTTGAATCGAGGAAGTCGAGTGATTTTCACGATAACGCACCAGCTCACTTTAGGGCCATTTCTTCATATTGGGGAACAAATAGTAGTCCGAGGAAGCCAAGTCTGGAGAGTAGGGGGGATGTGAGATGAGTTGGAACCCTAATTCCATTAATTTTGCGACCACAACTGCTGAGGTGTGAGCTCGATTCAAATGAATGCCAAACACAAACAAATAGACCGATCTGGCTGTAACTTGGTGTGTGTTCCTCCAAGAAATGCTACTAACTAAATCTAACCTTGATACGCGCCAGTAGTGTCATGTCTCTGACTTTGCACGGACTTTTCAAACGACCCTCGTATATATATTTCACAAATTATAAAAATAAGAGATATTTATCAACATTAAGTATCTTTTTCGATTTCTGAACGATGCAGAGATTAAAGAAATGTGGATGTAATGCAGGAAATCGGATGATCGTACGAGTTACTGCATTACGTGATAAATGACAAAAGTGTTACATCATTTTGAAATTAACACCGCTTTTAATTAAGATGAGATAATATTCAAAGTCATGCATGCAAGAGGATCAGGTTTCTCCTGCGAGAGAAAGAAAAATAGGAAAAGTGAATATAAGCACATCATCAACGTAATCAATTTACAATTTATTTACACGAAAGGAAGAGATTTTCTGTTGCGGGCCGCTTCGGCGGATATATATGCAATCATCAACGATAATCAAAGGATCAAATAAATTAACCTGTGCATCACTCTTGAAATTGCACTCACGGATGCCTCGCGGCGGACGTACGTCGCAGTCGGAAAACTTGTGCGTATTCGATCGAGGTGAATCGTCGCACTCGTTCGCGAAGATACTATCGCGAACGCACTGAATTAACTTCCTTCACCGGTACATATCCCCTTCCCTTATGTACATATTTGAATCCTCGAGCATAGATACTGAACTACTAAACACTTCCGGCTATTGAATATACAATTTGGTCAGAATAAATGAATAAAATCAATCTAGTATAATAAAAAATAATTAGTTCCAAAAATTATAAAATTAAAAATCAAAATTGAAACTATACGTTTTTATTAACCTTGAATCGAATTTTATACAATAGTCGGTCTTTAAAATTCGATTAGATAGAGAAGATCGAGGCTAATAAGTAAACTTTTTAGTTTTAAATTTTGAAAAAACTTAAAAGCTCATCCAAAAAACAAATTTTGTATCAGTTACTACATACATTTGACTACCTAATATTTTAATATTAAGCATTCGAATTAGATGATTGCGTCGTTCACAACGGTTACAAAACAATCGTAAATAAACTACAAAATATCATGAAATACGTAAAAAAAAAAATAATCGTGGAGCAGTCATTATTTTATTTTGCTTTAAACATTTAAATTTCGTTACTATACATGTAGAAAAGAAATTATACTTTTGATTTTGAAAAAATAAAAAATAATTTTGGAAAAAAGGAAAATAATTATTTTTTAATTGTTGATAATCCAGCAAATTATAACGTGTAATTTAGATGTAGATGTAATATTACACGAGCATCAGGAACGTTATATGTAATATTATTTGTAACAATAAACATAGCATGTACTAGTACAGCTTTATATCAGTAATATATCATTTTCTAACATATTTCTATTCCTATTATTCTTCACAAATATATAATAATATATTACTGTAATGTAATATAAATGTCTTTTTTATATATTTCTATATGTATGTACAAAGTAAGTACAAGTAATATAAATTGATGCTATGGATAGTAAAAAGTGAAAAAAAAACATCGTGTCTATATACCATATAACATTCAATTTTGAACTGATTATGAGTATCTGCAGGGCTACGTTCGGATCAGGGAGACATTATTACAGCTATTTGTGTTATTCTGTCTATATTGTTTATTAGATGTTAAACAAGAATAAAATGACTAACAAAAAATACTAATAGCATCTTTTAGACATCCCTGCATGATTAATAGTTGAATAAATTCAACGTATCTGTAGTATTAAGAGTATGATTTAGTTTTGTATATTTTTCCCCAAGAACTGATTTATTTAAACAATATCATGTAAACATTTAATAACTGTTGTACCATCAACATTTAATTCTCTAGCAAGTTCTGAAGTGGATTGTGCTGGATTTTCGTCCAATAATGCTTGCAAATCTGCATTTTTTAATTTTTATCGTAAAATCACCATATTTGAATCGACAAAACCAATATTCACATATCTTAATTGATAGAGCAATATTATCATAAATTTCTATCAAAATCCTATGACCTTTAACCACCATTTCTTCTGATTAAAAAACAAAAGCAATGTTCTTTAGGAAGCTCCATTTTTTAAATGGTACAAACATAATGTTTGGTAAATCTATTGTTAGTGAACGATTAAATATCATGGAGTAATATTAAAGCATTAAAATAAATAGCTGTGATTGGAATGTCGTCAACAACACTGACATTAGTAAGTGTCATCTCTTGCCAAACCCTCAATGCCAAAACTAAATCACACTCCTAATACGTATTCTCTTATATATATTAGTTATATAATATTCGCTAAATTGCTAAAAGATCACAGTTATTATATTTATGTCTACAGACATGTTATTTATTAAAATGGTTTATCAAACTTTTTTTATTACAAAGAAACATTTTAACACGTGTTAAAAGTAAGTTTTTGAAAACATGTTTAAATTTAGATTTGACTTCACCGCATCTTAATAATATTAATACAATAACATTAGTTTATTCCATCAAAATTCTACGATGAAAAAAATGCAGTTGGTTGTGGATTAATAAGGACTGTTCTAACTAGAAGAGTATCAAAAAATTGCAATATGTATATTCAAGTATCGTACCATTAGTTTATACGGTTGTTCACGAAATCTTCGAGGTTGAAAAAAAGATTGATTTTATATAGAGATCTTTAAATTGTATTGATAATTTTAAAGATTTGTAATATTTAACATTGACAATCACTTAATAATAGGTCGAATTGATTATAATTTATATTTAATTTATTAAAAATTTTAATTATTAGTAAATAACAGCTAGCACCAGCGTTTGACTCGTTAGCCCTCAATTTTATATATATTTTTGAATTTATTCAGTTGTTCCATAATTATTAGTAATTTATATTATGTATTTTGAGTTATGCGTGTTAGATTATATTTTTAAATAAGTATTATAATTATATAATGTAACAAAGAAATATATCTTTGTTTTTTTAAAGTTCCCTCAAAATTATACTTACTCTCCTGATCATGAAATACACTACGCAAAAAATTAAAGGATCACCTAGTCCGTCCTCAAAAATAGGTAAATATTCAAAAGAGTGTAATTTCGTCAAAAATAGATCATAACAAGATTTGTAAAAAAGCATTTTAAAGCTTGAAGTATCTACTTTTAAGATCGATAATTGATATTTCGATCAAATTGATTTTTTTACAGAGCTATACCAAGAGAAATGTGTCAAATCTGAAAATTTTGTACAAATTTTACAAAAGTCTATGGCATGAAATAAAAATAGCACACAAATTCACAGTAGTTTACAGCAGTTGAAAGAGGGAATCTTTATCTTTAATTTTATCTTATGATGAATACATAAAGAAAATGAGTGACATTCTGTCTGATAATGATACTTATCGAGTAATAAAAAAAGATCCAACAAATAAAATGACTACTTCTATACGTTCCTTATTAATGGGTTGGAAATCCAAAGGGTTTATTAATCAAGAATGCTACAATAAATTGTATGTTTCGGACGGAATATTGCCAAGATCCTATGGTCTTCCTAAAATTCATAAACCTAATATTCCACTGAGAATAATAGAATAATAGTAAAGCTGCATAAATAGTCCCTTTCATAAGTTGGCAATGTTTTTGAAAGATATCATTAATAAAAGCTTAAACGTAAAAGAAAAATTCGGACATATAAAAAATAGCTTTGAATTGGTCAAAAAAATTAACGGTTTACCGTTGCCGGAGGAGTACAAAATAGTCTCATTTGACATTTCATCCATGTATTCTAACATTCCCATTGAGTTGGCCCTGACGAGTGTGTTGAGTAGGTGGAAGGAGATGGAGAATAACACTTCCATTCCTCTTCTAGAATTTAAAAACGCTGTTTCAATTATTTTAAATTCAACATTTTTTAAGTTGAACAATAAATATTACGAGCAGATTTTTGGTTTGCCCATGGGATCACCATTGTCACCTGTCTTGGCGGACTTGGTTATTCAAGATTTGGAAAAGAATATTTTTCAAAATCTGAATACACACATATCCTTTTACTACAGATATGTTGATGACATTGTGCTAGCTGCTGCCAAAGATGAAATTAATAGCATATTAGATTCCTTTAATGGGTATCACGAACGCATAAAATTCACGGTCGATCATGGTGATGAGTTTGGTGTTAATTTTTTGGACGTAAAATTAATGTACGATGATGGTAACATCATATTCGACTTGTACAAAAAACCAACAAATTCGGGTAGATTTCTCAATTTTTTCTCAAACCACCCGTTCACACACAAAAAAGGTGTGGTGACGGGATTGGTGGACAAAGTTTTGTTTTTATCACATCCTAAATTCCAACAGGCTAATATAGAATCCTTAATCAACTCTCTCCTCCGCAACGGATATCCTTTGCATTTATTATTCAAGACTATCAAAAATAGAATCAAAAAACTTTCTAATAAAAATAATTTCGAGACAATAAATGAAATGGATCAGAACCTTGATTTGGAATCAATTGAAAAGACAAAATGTTTTACTATACCGTACTCAAAAAAGGCATCTGAAAAATTTAATGGAATATTAAAAAAATACAAATTCCAACCAGTGTATAAACCCATAAACAATCTTAACAAATTTATTACAATAGGTAAAGATAAGTTAAAAAAAGATGAACACTCTGGGGTGGTGTATAAAATAGATTGTAAAGATTGCAATTATACATACGTAGGCCAAACCAAAAGAAAACTAAGAACAAGATTAAAAGAACACATGAACGATGTTAAAAAACCTGTCGAGGCGCTTTCTGTGATTTCTAATCATCGGATAAATAATGATCACTGTATGGATTGGGAGAATACAAAAATCTTAGATTCAGAACGCTCCTTCTACAAAAGAAGTATTTCTGAAATGATTCATATAAAAATGCAAACGGAAGTTTTGAATAAGCAAAGTGATACGGACCGGTTTCCAGACATTTATCTCCCTCTTCTAAAACAATAATCCTAACCCCACTTATAGAAATTCTCCACCTCCCCCTCTCCTTCCTTTTTCCTTCGCTTCTCTAGAATTATAAATAGACTAAAGATGAACTCTTGTCATTTCAAATGTGAATTCTCTATTATTAAGACTGCGCAAGTGTCCGATATGTGTGGGAGGCTGTACTGTGAGATACGCGTAAGTCTACTAATTTATATTGTTTCTTTTCCTTTTTCTTTTCTTTTTCTTTTTCTTTTTCGGTCGTTCGGTAAAAATTCATTCTTCGTAAACTAGGAATGAATTTTAATTATAAAAAGTACGTAATAAAATTAAAATACAAGAAAAATAGATTACAGTTAAATTATTTTCAAAGTGGCATATTAACTTTCACATAGAAATGACCACTAGCGTGTCTCTCGTTGGCGGCTTGTCATTCGTGTTGGAACTTGAGAGAGTTTGAGAACAACTATAAACTCGACTTGCTCCTGCGTTATACA